ATCTCAACCTTTGAAACCAGAGCTATATGGACTAATTCCACTTTTAAAGTAGTGTGTTAAAATATGGACTGTATTTTGGCATGAATTGTAAAACCCATTTGCAAATACCTCTGCCATGGTAGCAGAATGCATGATTTTTTCTCAATGTGATCAAATCCCTTATTGAAATCACACAACAGCTGTGCATACCGCTCTTTAGAAATGTTAATGGTGCATATAATATAGAGTTCATTGTATTATTTTCTGCTCTTTATAAAGCCAGTCAGGCAATCTGCGACATACCTTCATAGGCCCCGTTCACACGGGCCGGATATTGCAGGAGGGGGGCGTGGCTGATTGCCCCGGAGCGAACTACCGTGCGGCCGCCAGAGCAAGCATCCTGCTGATGTCCCGTGGTTCGGGGGGAGGTGAATCCTGCGGCAAGGCAAAGAAGCGGTGCGGCAGGGGTTGTGGTTTTTTTTAACCAAAGTGTGCACATGCGCCATTGGGTGCTAGTGCGCATCCCGTGGAGGCTTGGGGAAAAAAAACCTTTTCTCGACGGGACATGGGCAAGCGCCGGATGCCATGAGCTACCACCGGAAACGTGATCAGATGCCAGCCCTTGCCCCACGGTTTCCAGAAACTAGTACCTTGGAGGTACTAGTTTTTTATGGCGCATCTTCGGCGGGAAGCCTCGGGTTCGCCACAGGAGCTCTACGCTTCCCAGATGTTGCGGTTTGATCGCGCCCGGAAAATCCGCCTATCTTCCGTCTCTGTAGCGTGGCTAATGCTCCGTGTGACCGCAGCCATAGAGATGTAAGCCAAGTCAGCACACTTGATTAGGCTGAAAGTAACTGGCTCGAAGTCCCTCAGTGAGCTTCATGGCCGAGCATGGATTTTAACTTGGGTCTACAGTCCTGAGGACTGGAAGGTAGCTAATGTAAACCCCATCTTTTTTTAAAAAAAAAGGTTCCAGAGGAGATGCAGGAAATTACAGTCCAGTCAGTCTAAGATCAATACTGGGTAGGTTGGTGGAATCTGTTATTAAAGATAGAATTAGTAAGCACATTGAATGAACAAAAGCTATTGAGGAATCAGCATGGATTCTGTATGGGAAGATCTTGTCTCACTCACCTTTTAGGCGGGGTGAACAAGCATATGGACAATGGTGACCCAATAGATGTTGTTTACCTAGACTCCCATAAAGCTTTTGATAAAGTTCCTCATCAAAGTCTCCTAAGTAAACTCAGCAGTCATGGGGTAAGAGGACAAGTCCTTTTGTGAATTAAAAAGTGGTTAATTAACAGGAAACAGTATAAATGGGCAGTTTTCACAGTGGAAGGTGATAAGCAGTGGGGTACCACAGGGCTTGGTACTAGGTCCCGTGCTTTTTAAATTGTTCATTAATGATTTGGAGTTGGGAGTAAGCAGGCTAAGTTTTTGGATGACACTAAGTTGTTCAGGGTGGTGAAAACCATGGAGGACTGTGAGGCATTCAAGAGGGATCTGTCGAGGCTGGATGAGTGGGCATCAACGCAGCAAATGAGGTTCATTGTGGGCATGTGCAAAGTAATGCATGTTGGAGCCAAAAATCCCCGCTATAAGTACACATTGATGGGGTCCAAACTGGCGGCAATTGACCAGCAGAGAGATCTTGGAGTCGTGGTAGATAGCTCACTGGAGATGTCAACACTGTGTGCAACTGAAATAAAAAAGGCCAATGCTATGCTGGGGATTATTAGGAAGAGAATTGAAAACAAATCAGCCAGTATCATAATGCCCCTGTATAAATCGATGGTGCGGCCTCATTTGGAGTACTGTGTACAGTTCTGGTCACCATACCTCAAAAAGGATATTATAGCTTTGGAAAAGGTGCAGAGAAGGGCAACTAAATTGATTGAGGGGCTGGAACACTTTCCCTATGAAGAAAAGTTGAAGAGCAGGTGTGACTTACTCCTCTTTTGTAGATGTGAAACTTAACAGATATTTTTGAAAGAATAATGGGATGTAAGACTGGAACCACTCTGTTTTGTTGGCTAGTTGCTGTCTTTGGGGATCAGGAAATGATTATTAACTTTATTAATAGCAGCACCAATGGCAATTGTGCCTGGGTGGAAGAAGGTAAATTAATAGATTGGTTGTTTAAAATTAGGATGTGGCCTCTGTGATTCAGTTGACAAACTATGTATCAAAATGGAAAGATGCATGGAAAACGTGCTTGCAGAAAATGAATTTTGTTTGTGATGTTTTGTTTCGGAAAACGGTAAAATATTCATTAATTTATTGTCTGAAAATCATTATGGCCTATTTGACTTCCTACATTGCCTCACGTAATCCCATTTTACAATTTTGGTGTTAGGTAATTCGTAATGAAATGTAACTTAGGTGGAGTACAACGTTCTAAAAAAAAACCTGGTGGGACTTGCTTCCAAATACCTGTTCATAATTGTGCTGCAAGTTAATTAGGAGGATGTGATGCATTATAGTTTGCTTTGAGCCCTTGGGATATGGTACAGAGACACAGGCAGGGTTGGTGTCAGTATTTGTGTCTGTTGCTCAGTCTCAGTCCTCTTTGAGGATAAGTGTCAGTTCTGTAACTGAGCTAATAACAAAGCCTTGGTATCCACAAGGCGAACATAAAATACTTAGTGATGGACCTGAAGGTCCACTTCTACTTCTAGAAGGGTATTTCTGGACTCATAAAATATTAAAGTAAAGGTAAAGGTTCCCTTGCTCGAAAGCCAGTCAAATCCGACTCTAGGGTTGCGGTGCTCATCTCCGTTTCAAAGCCAAAGACCAGCACTGTCCGAAGACGTTTCCGTGGTCATGTGGCCGGCATGACTAAACACCAAGGCGCATGAAACGCTGTTACCTTCCCACTGAAGTGATACCCTCCATTGTTCTCTGTGGTGGGAAAAAAGTAACTTTTTTCCCACCATAGAGAACAGTGGAGGGGATGGGGCAACCTGTTTGAGGGCCTGTAGAATTGGACCCCCTGATCCAATGTTCTTCAAACATGGTTGGTATCTTGGGGAGAGGCTTCAGCAGCTTACCTGCGAGTTTGGAGCCTCTCCCTCAAACCCCCTCCCCTGCAGCCCCCAGAATATACCCTATATTTTCACCATTGACTTCAATGGCCCATAGGATATAATGGGGCTGAAACTGACATTCGGCTGGCCTAAAGACTCCTGAATGGCTGGTACTGCCGAAATTGACATGCAGGAGTCTTTATGCTGGCCGGAATTGATTCTGCCCGATTCAAGTGAATCGGGCCGAATTTGGTTTTGTTTGTTTTTTTGCACGCCCCTAGTCAGACCATTAGTTCCAATACTGCCTGCTTAGACTAAAGACAGTCTCTGTAAAGACACAGTTTCTATAAAGAAACAGTCTTTACAGCCTGTGGGCTCAAGCAAAAGTTTTGTCTGGTCAATTCAGTTGCCTGAGTTTATTTATTTTATTCCATGTATATACCACCCTCCCCGCATGGCAGGCTCAGGGTGGGTTACATCACATTTGATAAAAAATACAATATGTACAATTAAAACACTAGTAAAATACCACAATGGCCTTCATCCGGTGCCGTTGTCATTGACATTAAAACTTCACAGATGCTAACTCTGGTATGCAGTTCTGACCCGTTGAGGGGAGGCCCAGTAAAGAGGGCGGGACCCTAGTTAAAAGCCTGGTGGAAGAGCTCCGTCTTGCAGGCCCTGCTGCACTGTAAAAGGTCCCACAGGGCCCTGATCTCATATGGGAGCTCATTCCACCAAGTAGGGGCCAGGGACCATGAGAAGGTGTTGATTGGCAGATCATAAAGCCCTTTGGGGCTCATAGCATTGCCAGGAATTAAACCTGACCTATTGCCCCCACTTCCCAGGACCTCAAAATCAGAACATTTTATTTGATTTTTCTGTGACGTTTCATGTAGACTCTCTGGAAATGCAACGAATTCTTTTCTCACAGTTGCGTGCGCTGGAACACGAAGCTGTCCAGGAAACACCTTGTATACCACCCATATAGGCGCCATGACGACATTCTCAATAATGATGCTTGGGTTTGTGGGAGTAGCTGTAGTGTGGTGGAAGAAAAATATGCTAAACCTGACTGCTTTGCATTTTAAGATATTCACATCTCCCAGCCGTAAGTGCATGGAGTGCAAAATCAGCTGAACCTCTTTATAGGAACACAGTCATGCATGGCTTGGAACTCCTGGTAACTAGTATGTATTTCTGACCATGGGATTATTCCTGATAATAAGTAGCTGTTGTCCTGTAATGAGTAGAATCTTGTTGGGTGGTAAGCAGATAGATGTTGCTTTTGTTTTTCTATAGGCTATGCCGTCACTCATTGTGTCCAGAAGGATGGAAAGGTACTTTCCATCTTAATCAGTTGTCCTGGGTAACACTGGTGTGGGTTTTTTTTTTTTTAAAGTTTACTGTGAAAATGCTTCTAGCATTACATACATCTGTGTTAAAAAGTCACATGGATTATGTAAACTATTTTATACAGTATGGTATGTAACTTCATATATAAACTACTGCTATCTGCTATGAGTCTCGTTGAGAAAGCTTTGTGATACATGAAGTGAATTGGTGAATTGCTGTAGCCTGCTTTTATAGGTGAAAGTTTTGAAGAATGGGAATGACTCCAAAAGGTGTAGCAAAGCCTTGTAGAGAGAGCGGCTCTGCTGAAGTTCAGGCGTTGAGCTCCTTCTTGGCCCGGTTCTCTTTGATGCAAGATCTCAAAGCTGGTGTGGGGTGGTGGACAGGCCAAACTTTTCACTCTTATGACTGCCGTTGAACCCCTTCCCTCACCGAAAGCCAAGCTGTAGGTTGGCAGGAAAACCACCTCATGACTTCAGGCAGTTTTCTGGGCTTTTCTATACCATTTGGTTTCAGCAGCTCAACATCATCTATTATGTTGTCCTTTGGCTTATTCTGCAGTTCTTGGTTCCTTTGATAGAGCAGTGGGGTTGGAATGAGCTGAGAATGGGAAGGCAGAAGCAAGCCCCGCCCCCTGTAAATAGCCCAAGTGATGCTCCGAACCTCAAACACGCAATGAGTAAGTAAACAGAGGATGAGGAGCCTTGCTAATTTGCCACTTGTGGAGCTGTCCGTGGCCCATTCTGTATCTGGAATTTGCTCTCTTGTTTTACCAAACCCACATTGGAACAGAAGAAGAAGAGATTGGATTTATACCCCGGCCTTCACTACCCAAAGGTGTCTCAGAGCGGCTTACAAACTCCTTTCCCTTCCCCTCCCCATAACAGACACCCTGTGAGGCAGGCGGGGCTGAGAGAGCTCTTGACAGAAACTGCTCTTTTCCAAGAACAGCTCTTGTCAGAACTACAGCTTGCCCAAGGTCATCCAGCCAGGTGCAAGTGAAGGAGTGGGGAATCAATCCAGTTCTCCCAGATTAGAGTCCGCGCACTTAACCACGACACCAGACTGGCTCTCAGAAAAAGGTGCTGCTCAAAACGGCATTCAGATACCCCGGGCCAATGCTGTACTGACTGCAGAGTCACCCCAGAACAGCCATAAAACAGCCAGAAATCTATGCAGACTGTACCACAAAACCAAGAGATCGAAGAAAGTGAAACCAGCATGCAGTATGGAGGCTACCATAAGATCCGACAAGCAAAGAAAGTGGCATGCAATGTAGAGGGGAATTTCTGTTCCAACATGGGCAGCGGAGCAAATGCTAGATGCAGAACGGGCCCATGACCAGTGTTCCCTCTAAGCTGAGTTAGTTTGAGCTAGCTGCCAGTTTTTTAACCTCTGGCTCACACCTTTTTTGTCTTAGCTCAGTAAGGCTGGCTTTAGAGCAAACTAATTGATGCAGCAGCCAAATCGCTCACTCACAACTTTAATGCCAGTAGTTCACAAAGTAGGATTTTTGCTCACAAGACTCCACAGCTTAGAGGGAACATTGCCATGACTACTAAAGTTGCCCTAGGGAGTGTTCATACTTACGTGATGTAGGGCCTGTGTACATTGCAGAGCTGCAACACAGTGCCATATTGTTTTTTTAAAAATCTAAAAATGCATTATGCAGTGCTTAGGTACGGCATTTAAATATTCATGTAAAATACTCATAACAAGCTGGGTTCCTCCCAGGAATCGTGGGAGAGGAGAACAGTTTGGAAAACACACACACACACACACACACACACCCAATTCTGTAAGCTTTCAAGCTCTTGAACAGACTAACTTCCTCCTCCTCTTCAGCTCACTTGCTTTCCATCAGGTTATTCTTGAGGGTGTTTGTTTTTTCTTGTTCATTTGCAAAGTCATTATTTCTTCTGAGCAGGTAGAAACCCTTCCCCTGTTGATGTGTGGTCTAGTACCACCACTCTTGCAGTTGTCAGAGGGCTGTCTAATTTAAGTACGGTGACGTGCATCATTTAGTGATTTTTGTAGTCTTAGCCATGCTTTCTCAAGGTCAAAAAAGTGAGCTCTTTGGCTTCAGGGAGAAGGCAATTGGGCACCCATGCACTTTCACACACCAGATATCTTTCCAAGTCTCACTTAATTTTTCACACTCTCAATATTCTCCGTGGGCCCTTGTCTCAGAATCTTCTCTAGAAGAGGTTTGCTTTTTTGTAATAAAATGATAAAGAGTTTTAAGAAACCAGATCCATTGACTTTGACTTGTGTGTCCTGCTGAATTGTCCTTTGTCTTGTTGATGGATGTCACAACTTCTTATTTTTTCCTCTTATAGGTCCTGCTGGGGATTTGCATCTGGCTTCAATGTGAAATTAAGGTAGAAAAATGCACATAAACATGTGTTTCCTGTTAAGATTTAGTGTACTCAGTGGTTATGCCTGAAGAGTGGGTCTTGTCTTTAGACGGATAACTGCCAGGAAATATAAATGATTGTCCTAGAAGTCAAGCTTCTCTCCTCCTTACTGGAGTGAAAAAAAAAAGTCCACCTCCAGGTTCCTACGGAATATCATCTGCAGAAAATGCATCGCGTTCTAAGGATGACAGCCACCTAGATTCATGCACCCAATCTGTACAGTTGTTGTGGATGGTTTGCCATCTGAAAGCTCCTCAAGCTCCTGTCTGGGCCCGGTACCTGTTTCTGAAATGTCTCTGCTTCATGCTTTGGGCCCAGTGCAGACCTGGCTGGGACAAGAGCTAGAAAAATGTGGCATTGATGCCATGATTTATACTCGCTATGTCCTCAGTCTTCTGCTGCATGATAGTTATGACTACGATCTGCAGGAACAGGTATTTACTTATTTAAGATGTGTTTTGAGTAAAAAAAAGAGTGCATGTTTTACTTGTGTGTTGCATGTCGAAATTCTTTGTGTTCCTTGATTTTAGTTTGCGACTTAAATAGTAAATGTTCAGAGAAGAAAAAAACTTACGCTTGGGTCCAGAGAGCTGCGTTGGGATTTGGACACATTCACAGGATGTTTGGCAGTGATCAGCTGATTGCTGTGTCATATCACAACCTGGTCCGGAAAATCTGATTCAAAAGCAGTTTGCCACATAGCGCCAGGGATACAGACCTTTGAAAGATGCAGAACGCTTCCTTGGATGCAAGGAACGAATAGTGTCTGTAAAGTGTGTTGTGGGATTTGTTTTTAATGAGATTTCTGTAAAATTGCTATATGACAGTTTGAAGAAGATTCTAAACGGGATGACCTGTAAAGGAACTTGCATGGCTTCTCATTGAAACATAAATACATTGAGGTCCGAGTGTGCCGCATGATGGAGTGATCTACCATCTCTAGTTCCAGCTCCTGCCAACCTAGCAGTTCGAAAGCAATAAATTGCAAGTAGATAAATAGGTACCACTCCAGTGGGAAGGTAACAGCGTTCCGTGCGCCTTGGTGTTTAGTCATGCCGGCCACATGACCACGGAAATGTCTTCGGACAGCGCTGGCTCTTCGGCTTTGAAACGGAGATGAGCACCGCAACCCTAGAGTCGGATTTGACTGACTTTTGAGCAAGGGCGACCTTTACCTTTACCTAGGATATGGTACAGCCATGAAAATGCTGTTCGGAGAGCGTAATGGGCACATGAGCATATACAGGGAGATGTCACCTGATAAATGAGGGGCCAAGGCTATGAAGGGCTGTGAAGGCAGCAATCACCATTTTGAGTTGGGCCTGGGAGCAAATAGATAGTAATAAGTGTAGGTGATGCAGTGCTGGATGTCATAGTCAGCTGACCCCAGTCTTGCTGCCGCATTTTGTGCCAACTGAAACTTCTGCTGCATCTTCAAAGCGAGCCCTCTGTAGAGCTTATTCCAGTAGACCACTGTGCAGGTTGCTATGGTGTGGTTCAGTGTGACTAGGTCAGCAGAGCCCAAATAAGGGGCCATCATCTCAGCCAGACGTAGTTGAAATAAGGCACTCCTAACAAACTGTGCCAGTTTGCTTGTCCATGGACAAGGCCAAGTATAAGAGTGCTCCCAATTATCTTGCCTTGCTAAGGAGAGATTAACCTTGTGTAAGGCTAGTAGACTGATATCACTCTGCCTTCCCAACCAGCATTACCTCCATTTTGTCTGGATTAAGCTTCAGCTTGTTCCTCTTTTAGCAACATGGGTGTTCCCCTTTTTCCCCCCCCGCAAAAGAAAACAGGAAGTGATATTTGATACCGCCGCCAGTATTGAGTTGCAGAGGCCTGTGTACTCCAGAATGTTAAGCTTTCTTCTAAGAAACAGTTTGTAGAGGAACTCTTGTTTTGGGCCCAGGGCAACTGCACAGCAGTAAAGCCCGCTCAGTCAGGTTACAGTTTCACATAGCAGCCAACCAGATCCCCCTGGAGAGCCAGCAAACAGGGCGCAGGAGGCCAAGGCCTTCCCCAGTTGCTGCTTCCTAGCACTGGTAATCATAGCTTTGCCACCTCTGAATACGGAGGCTCCCTTTATTTACCTTGGCTAGTCACCTGTGATGGACCTCTCCTCCAAGACTCTGTTTAGCCCTCTTTTAAAGTAATTTATGCTCATGGCCATTACGATGTCTGCTGGCAGTGAGTTCCACAGTTTAATTACTTGTAGAGTAAAGGATGTCCTTTTCTCTGTTCTGAGCCCATTGCTTACCAACTTAATTGGGTGTCTTTGCGTTCTCCTATGCTAGAGAGAACTCCACTGCTGCCTGCTCTGTGCTCTGCAGTACTCTACTTGGCCAGAAGGGGCACTGCAGGTCACACACCCCTAAATAATCCACTTTCAGTGCACTTTCCAACTGGATTTTACTGTGTGAACTGGCAAAATCCAGTTGGAAAGTGAATTATGTAGTGTGTGTGACTGTAGTCCAGGTTTATCTTGAATCCATAGTGCTTTCTTCAGCAGGTATAATACTGATCTTCGACGTGGTCTTTGTGCTTCACACCCATGGGATTCAGTGCGCACGCGCTGGATTGATCGGTGCTGTTGCAAGCTCTATTCAACAGATTTTTGTGCCCAGTCCCTCCAGGCATGCGCAGGAACCCCACCGCGCATGCCCAGAAGGGTGGGCGCGGACATCCCGCCAGTTCCTTTCTTACCGCCGCGTTGGAAAGACCTCTTTCTCCGACGGTCTGATCGGTTCGCTGATAGCTTCTTCTAAAACTCTCAGCTCTTCAACGATACTTCATCCTTTTGCTTATTTTGTTCTTCATTCTACTCCTGATTTATGAACCAAGGCAATGAAGCAAGATAGCCCTGCAGTGCTGTTGCCGAAGACTGAGATACAGGAGTTCTTGGGATGCGGCGTTAAAAAGCAAAACAAACCAATGCAAAAACACACAAACACAAAAAACCAAACAGCTAAAAGTATCTTATAGTACAATTTTTTAAACTCTGGGAAAGAGAACT